TCTTGGGAATAAAGCTACTTTTAGGGGTTAAGAGAACAGGCAGGTTTTTCAAGTTCACAGTGGTGTGTCTAGTTCCTTCTGTTTAGGGGAGGGCTCCTTGGAGTTGGGGCCCGGAGCTAAGAAGGGCTGGCAGACTGGGGAGGAGTTTGGGGGCTTAGAGGAGCTCCCTGATAGGATCCCAGAGTTCTTCTCTTGGGTAGGTCAGAGTAGAGTAGCTTGAGGAGCACTGCACTGTCCCCAGACCCTGCAGACCTGTTTCTGGCCTGAGGGAACAGGAAGGAGGAAACAGAAGTGCCCACATCCTGGGGGCTTCTACAGGCTGCTTGCCTGCCCCCACCCCCTTCCCTTGCAGGCCTAGGTGCCTGAGTTGCAGTGCTATGTCTTTTGGGGCCTTACTTCCTGCTGGAGCCTCACCTGCTAAGGCCCTGGCTGGGGCGGGGCCTGGCCCTGGCACAGTCTACTGAGTGAGGCCATGCCAGGCTGGGGAAGGCACACACAGGCCACCCGAGATGGCCTAGTTTCTTTTCTAACCCCTCCTTTCTGCTGGCCATGGGGTCCCTGTGCTTCCAGGCCAGGGCAGGGCTACGCTTTATCTCTTGATTCTGATCTGGCCAGTGAAAGCAGGGGGTGTATGTATGCAGTGATATTTGGGCACCTTTTTCCCTTTCCCTAAAGCCCAAATACCCAGGGATGCTCCCTGTGATGAGGAAGCACTGGCCCAGGGGTGTAGAGATGTGGGGGGAGAGCTTATGGCTGGAGATCGATGTACCCCTGGCTGAGGCCTGGAGGAGAAAGGAGTACCTGTGGGTGCTGCCGCCTTGGGGAGTTGCACTCAGAGGCAGGAGCTTGGGCGTCTGACAGACCTGGGCGAGCTGGGCTTTTGGTGTGTTTTCTGACCTGGCTTGGCTGCCTGAGCCTCTGTGACCTTGGGCAGCTTGCTTACCAGTCATCTGGAACCTCAGTTTCATCAAGTAAGATGGGCTGGTCAGGCTGATGAGGGAACTGCTGTGGGCTGGGCCTAAGGTGAGCATTAGCTTTATGGTAACCAGAAGAATGGAGGTGGTTGTCCCTGCCACTCAGGGCCGTCGCCTGCCCCACTCCGTTGTGTGTAGGCTGAAACCCTTGGTGGGGGCTGTGGAGAGGCTGAGGGCCTGGCCCATGCTGGGCCATCAGGACCACCTGGGATGGGACTGGACTGGAGGGAAGGGGGCCTGGAGTGAGTCTGGCTCCCCACCCCCACCTGGTTAGTATGGATGCCGGAGCAGCTCTGGCTGGGCCGTGGCAACAAGTCAGATGCCCTGGGAAGGCGCCGTGGCGAGGCTGGGCATGTTTTCTCCACATGTTCCCTCTACAGCTGAACAGCCTTTGGCCTCTTGCTGCCAGCTCCGTTTCCCTCCCCACGGGAGAGACTTGGTTTTCTCCTGGCAGAGCAGGGGCTGCTGGGAAGGGAAGGCAGAGCCTGCCAGCTTCTTGGTAGAGCTGGAGGCCTGGGGCACGGGTGCAGTTGTTCTCTGGGAGACTGGGAGCCCATCCCTCCTCCCACCAGAACCAGTGGCTCTCAGGAAGGGTCACCTGCAGGGGGCAGCATGAAGAGGCCCCAGCCGGCCCCTTGACCCAGGAGGCAAGCAGGGTCTCAGCGTCTGGGACTGGTAGACAGGGGGCGGTCACCTCATGGCCTGGGCCTGGGCCTGGGTCTGCACCAGCTGTTGCCGGCAGCTGGCTGAAGCAGTCCTGCCCACCCCCACTGGGGTTGGGACAGAGGAGAGAACCCCCTTGCTGGGCTCTGCCCCTGCCAGCCAGTCCCCAAGGCCCTCAATCCCGAGGGGCCCAGGAACCCCAAATGCTGGGTTCTCCTGTCCCCCTAACAGCTTTGTCAGCAGTGACCCCCTTTCTAGGGGGTGCAGGGAGGTGGGTCTGAGCACTGGTAGCAGCTCCAACTGGGGTCCTGGAGCCACCAGGGCCTCCTGGCCCACAGCTGTCCTTCTGGCCGACCTTGAGCAGGATTCAAGGCAGGGGGAGTGTGCCCTTCCCAGGGCCGCCCCGGCAGGCCTAGCCCCACTGAAACCCGAAGCCAGCCAGAGCTCCAGTCCCGGGCCGACCAGCTGCATGGGGGCCAGGGTGGTGGAGGAGGCCGGAATGAGGGACACAGACAGTGCCGGGCCTGAGCCGGAGCGCTGGCTGCCTCGCTGCGATGGCGGTCAAGGGACTCCAGAGCCGAGCAGAGGTCAGCCGCTGACTGTACCAGGTGGGCTGTGGGGGCAGTGAGCCAGGTGGCCAGCCTCTTGTGGGGAGATCACTTGGCCTTCGTCTAGTGGTAGGGAGACCTTCAGGATCCCTTAAAGGAAGGAGGAAGGGTAGGTCTCCCTGTCCTGGGGAGTGGAGGTCCCTGGGAACCAGCCACATTCTTTTGAAATCTGATAGGGGATTGGGTACCCTCCTGGGGTGGGAACCTGGTGCCGGGTGCCTTCTGGGCAAGCTCCCTGGGCTGCAGAAGGACAAGTGGGAGCTGTAGCCATCCTGGCCTTGTCTTCCTTGCCCTCCTCCCTGTCCTCCCAGCCTAGACTCAGGGAGTGCAGGCCACCTGTCTGGGTCGGGCCCCTGATTTCCCGCTTGTGGGGTCTCAGACCTCAAGGCTGCTGTTCCATATTGGGTGGGGAGCCCTCCCTTTATCTCTTCTCATCCTGGGGGCTCACCAGCCTGCAAAGTTTTTCTCAGACACTCAGTTGGGGGAAGTGCCTCCTGGTATCTTCTGCCATCCCTCGATCTGCCTTTTGAAAGCTGACCAACCACTGCCCTTCTCCCCGCCCTCCTGGTCTGCTTTGTCATAGCCAAGTTCTCCCTTTGGTTTTGGCTGCTCACTTTCTAGGGGCTTGGGGGCTTGCTGCACTGTGCACTCCCTGGAAGGAGAGGTCCTTGTATGTCCTTGTGGTTCTCGGAGTTCCATTCCTGGTTTGGAGAGGTGTGCTGGGGATGGGGACTGGGTGATGATGGTCATTGAAGGTGGCTAGGGTGGAGGGCAGTGCGGTGGCGTGGTGGTGCAAGAATCCAGAGTTCACTCTCGTCTCTTGACCTTGGACAAGGCTCTGAACTTTTCTGGGCCTCATGCATCCTAATTTGGGGGAAGGAGGAGGAGACTGTCTGAGCTCCTAGAGATCCTGTTTTTCACGAAGTTGAGGGGACCTAGGGAAGAGGGAGTGGCTTCTTGTGATGTCCCCCTGGCCTGCCCTTCAGTGCTGGCTTATCTCCTTTCCCAGAGCCCTGTTCCACGTTTCTGTGGGTCTCGGTAGGGTCCATACAGCTCTGGGGAAATGCACCCCAGCCCCGTTCCTAACAGCTGGGTAGGAAGAGGAGGGGGGTCTGGATGGGATGGGCTGAGTCCAGGGCAGGGCTGGGTGAGCTGACCTGTCTAGAGCTCCCAGGCAAACAAGGGGCCAGTTTGGCTGCCAGGCAGACCCTGGGTGAAAGGCTCCGTGGGCTCAGTGAGCACCAGGCAGTCCTGGGTTTTGCTGGGGGGTTTCTGTGAGGGCCTCTGCTCCCCAGGAGGCAGGAGGCTCTCCTTTGTCCCCCTTAGTACCCGGGTACAAATGGAAGGTTTTGTCACCTCTTCCCCCTCTCTCAGCAGCATGTGAGTTGGGAGTTTTTCACAAATATTGAACTTAACTACCTGCTTACAGTAATTAATTCATTAATTTGGTGTCTTTCTACTGGGCCCCGGGCAAGACAGAAGGAGGAAGAGAGAGAGCTGGTGTGAGCAGCCACCCAGAGTGCAGCAGATCTAGTGCCCTGGGAGGTGGGGATAAAGGGAGGTGCTAATTCCTCAGAGAAGAGGGTTTATTTCACTTAGGTCTTACTGAATGAGTAGGAGTTTGCCCAATGGAATGTGATATGGGGGGCAGAATGAACAAAGGCACAGGTGGGAGGTAAGATGTGTGGCCTGTTCTCAGGCTTCTGAATGGTTTGGTGTAGCTACACCTTGACAGGGAGAGCTGGCGGGAGCTGAGGACGTAAGGCTGTGCCTGAGAGTGTTGGCCCGAGAAGCTTGGGTCTTGTGGGCAATGGGGAGTATTGAGGGTTCTGAGTAGTGCTCCTGAAATAGGGGAAATGGCCAGAGTCACGGCCGTGGCCGGTGAGATTAGGTCTGGTGATAGATTGGGGTCGGGGATATTCATGGAGCAGGGCCAGTTTGTGGAGGAAGCTGATGAGATGGTCTTTGGTGATGCCTGACGGATGGCCACTTTGAAATGCTTGAGCGAGGCCTAAATCGGCCATGTGAGCTCTGAGGCCTAAGGGCACTTGAAGCATGGGAGAGGGTGAGATGAGAATGAGGTGAGGCGGGGCCCAGGTTGGACTGCTGGAAGACGATGGGGCTGGAGAGGGGCAGCAAGAGTGTCGGTGTCCATCAGGGAAGAGGAGGAGGAAGAGCTGGGAGGAGATGCTGCTGAGAAGCTGGGCACATTAAGGCAGAGGAGACCCTTGGGTTGGGCTCTGGGCTCTCGGAGTGGCGTGGTGACTCTGGGGAGAGTGGTTAGGATAGCGTGCTCAGAGGAAAGCTGGGCTGGTGGACTGAGGAGCGAATGGGAGGGAGGTTCCGGAAGTGGCCCGCAGTGGAAGTTGTGTTAAGGCCAGAGGAGACCCTTGGGTTGGGCTCTCGGCGTGGCGTGGTGACTCTGGGGAGAGTGGTTAGGATAGCGATTAAGGCAGAGGAGACCCTTGGGTTGGGCTCTGGGCTCTCGGAGTGGCGTGGTGACTCTGGGGAGAGTGGTTAGGATAGCGTGCTCAGAGGAAAGCTGGGCTGGTGGACTGAGGAGCGAATGGGAGGGAGGTTCCGGAAGTGGCCCGCAGTGGAAGTTGTGTGCTCAGGGTGAGGGGACTAGGGCTGAGTCTTGGGAGAACAAGCAGGCGCCACCCTACAGGACGTGTGCCCACTCTGGTGGGTGAGGTGGACACCCCATCTGACCAACTAGGCCCCTCTTGCTCAGCTCCTTTCTTGTTGTCCACAGAGCTGCCATCAGTCATGCTACTGAATGGGGACTGTCCGGAGAGCCTGAAAAAGGAAGAGGGGCCCACCGAACCGCCCCAGGAAAATGGGCTGGATGAGGCTGAGCCGGGGGAGGAAACCACTGGACAGGAAGTCATTGTCATTCAGGACACCGGCTTTTCGGTGAAGATCCTGGCCCCGGGGATTGAGCCCTTCTCCCTGCAGGTGAGATGTGGAAAGGAGCTGGAGACCAAGACCCAGGTCTCTTGGGGAGGACAAGGGTGGGAAGACAAACCTTGCCTTTGCTCGTCCTGGCCCCATGTTGTAGGCAGGAAACCTACCTGTGCCTTGCCCACGGTCACTCAGCTAGACTGGTGGATGTGGGGATCAGGTTCCCGTCATTGTCCCATTGCTGGGGGACAGCTGCCAGCTGGGACTGTTGGGGAGAGGTATGGTAGCGGCTGGGTGGTGGTGGGGTTTCAGGGCCCCCAGCCCTCTGCTCTGTACTCGCAGGGAAGTCACCTCTCTGGCTGTGTTTTTACCATTTGCCTGAGAGGAGAGTGGTATTGGGTGGTCTCCAAGAGCAGAGCCAACCCAGAGGTCTTGCAGAGTGTTAACTCATTGGGGAACCAATGCCCTCTTAAGTCTTCTGTACCCAGAGGCTTGAGCCCAGAGCACCCCTTCTTTTTTTTTTTTAATCCTTAACTGAGGATATTATCTCATTGATTCTAAGAGAGAGAGAGAGAGAGAGAGAAACATTGATGTGAGAGAGACACATTAATTGTCTCCTGCATGCACGCCGACCAGGGCCAGGGATTGAACCCACAACCCTTCGGTCCTCTGGCCAACGCTCTAACCACTGAGAAACCAGCCAGGACCCAGAGCACCCTTCTTGAAGAGGGAAGCCATTTGCCCTGGGGACCTTGGCATTGGTCAAGGGAGAAAGCAGGATTGCTGCGTTCTTTCTCCCACTGTTATCTCCTTCTGCTCAAGGCTTGCTCTTAACTGCAGGAATGGTTTAGGCCTGAGGGTAATTGGGCCACTCTGTCCTGAGCATGTGCATATATCCTGTACACGCACACAAGTGCAGATGGGCATGTATGTCCGGACAGGGCTTGGAGTTTACAAGCCAAATGGTGGGGAACTGAATATTTGGAGCATTGATTCTAGGGTCGCAGGTACTTTAGGCTGGTGAAAGTGGTATGTCCTCACCAGGGTAATCGGGGCTTTTCTCTGGCAGGTGTCCCCTCAGGAGATGGTACAGGAGATCCACCAGGTGCTCATGGACCGTGAGGACACGTGTCATCGCACCTGCTTCTCGCTGCACCTGGATGGCAACATGCTGGACCACTTTTCAGAGCTGCGCAGCGTCGAGGGGCTGCAGGAGGGCTCCGTGCTACGCGTGGTGGAAGGTTTGTCTGGAAAGTGGGCAGCCTGCCAAGGGAGGGCACATGGAGGCAGGGCCAGGCAGTGCTCTGCTCACGCTGGCAGGTCACCGACAAGCGTGTGGAGGCTCCGGGGGGGTATCAAACTTGTAGAGGCAGTATGGGAGCACAGCCTGCTTCTCAGGCTGTCACCTGCGCACCCTTCAACTTCATGGTTTAAATATCAGACCCGTGATTAAAAACAAACAGAATGCCAAGCAAAGGCTTGCTATTAGTCCAATCTGATTCTATAGAGATAAAAGTGAAATCTCTTAAGGAAACTAAAGTTTGGGAAGTCAGGCCCAGTGTGGAGTGATCAGCTGGTGTGGGAAGGATGGTTTGTTTGTAAAAACAAAAGCTCCTATGAACTTGGGTCTCCTGAGAAGTGGCTCAGAGGGTCCAGGTGTGTCAGCTTATTAAGAGGAAATGTGGAAAAAATGTAGCCCAACTGTACCCAAACTTGCTTGATCATGGAACCTCTCTCCTCCCCCCCAAAGAGCCCCCATTATTGTTTCACAAAACACATACTGGGGAGCAGTGTTGTGATCCGGATCCTGTTGGTTTCGGGGCACCCCTGGGTGAGGGCTGCTGGGGCCCCGCAGTCTGCAGGCTGCTCACCCGGACACTGTGAGCAGAGCAGGGGCTTTGTGGGCTCCCCGAGGCCTGTGTGCACTTCCCGAGGCATTTCTTGTGCCTTTTGGCAGAAGGTTCTTTGCAAACAAGGATTCCTGCCAACCAGCAGGCAGGTGTGTGTGTGTTGAAACCAGAGCTCCAGCCTATGTGTTTATAATGGAGTTTGTAAGTGGAAGCCTGAAATTGAAAAATTAAGACCACGATGGTCGCACCATGCCAGCCATCTCTGCTGGGCAGGTGTTGCAGGGAGCGAGCCCTGGTCACACCCCGCCACTTCCCGCCCAACAGAGCCGTACACAGTGCGCGAGGCCCGCATCCATGTGCGTCACGTCCGAGACCTGCTCAAGAGCCTGGACCCGTCCGATGCCTTCAATGGGGTTGACTGCAACTCCTTGTCCTTCCTGAGCGTCTTTACTGATGGCGACCTGGGAGGTGAAGGAGGCGTTGTGGGGCCCAGGTCGGGCAGAGGGGCCAGGAGCAAGATAGCTGGGGGCCGCCCGGCCAGCGTGGCTCAGTGGTTGAATGTCAACCTAGGAACCAGGGGGCCACGGTTCGATTCTGGGTCGGGGCACATGCCTGGGTTGTGGACTCGGTCCCTAGTGTGGGGCATGCAGGAGACAGCTGACCCATGGTTCTCTCTCATCATTGATGTTTCT